AGAGTGCCACTACAGCCCCTGTATAACCTCCCTCCCCCCCCTCACCATGTTTCATATCCTCCTCACCCAGACGTGTAAGAACGCAGGGGGGTAGGCTCCGTGCACCTTCCCACTCCACCCCAGTGGACAGCCCAACCAAAAGGCTGTCATTACACTGAATTTGTTCAGTGGCCTTTTACTTCCCTCCTATCCTCCTCCCAAACCTCACCCAGATTACCTTGTTGGTTCTCTCCCTATGTTTATAATCAGTTAATAAAGAATACATGATTTTTAAATGATATTGACTTTATTTCCTTTGAAAGAAAGCTGGGGGAACGGGAAGGGTGGGTTCCTTACAGAGAATGAATGAGTCAATAAAGGGGGCGGGTTTTCATGAAGGAGAAACAAACAGAAATTTCACACTGTAGCCTGGCCAGACATTAAACTGGTTTTCAAAGCCTCTCTAATGCACAGCGCTTCCTGGTGTGCTCTTCTAATCGCCCTGGTGTCTGGCTGTGCGTAATCAGCAGCCAGGCGATTTGCCTCAGCCTCCCACCCCGCCATAAAGGTCTCCCCCTTACTTTCACATAGATTGTGGAGCACACAGCAAGCAGAAATAACAATGGGGAGATTTCTTTGGCTGAGGTCAGAGCGAGTCAATAGCAATCTCCAGCGACCTTTTAAACGGCCAAATGCACATTTTACCACCATTCTGCACTTGCTCAGCCTGTAGTTAAACAGCTCCTGACTCCTGTCCAGGCTGCCTGTGTATGGCTTCATGAGCCATGGCATTAAGGGGTAGGCTGGGTCCCCAAGAATAACTATTGGCATTTCAACATCCCCAACGGTTATTTTCTGGTCCGGGAAGTAAGTCCCTTGCTGCAGCCCTTTAAACAGAGTAGTGTTCCTGAAGACGCGAACATCATGAACCCTTCCCGGCCAGCCTGCGTTGATGTTGGTGAAACGTCCCTTGTGATCCACAAGTGCTTGCAGCACCATTGAAAAGTACCCCTTGCGGTTTATGTACTGGGTACCCTGGTGCGCCGGTGCCAAGATAGGGATATGGGTTCCATCTATCGCCCCACCACAGTTAGGGAATCCCATTGCAGCAAAGCCATCCACTATGACCTGCACATCTCCCAAAGTCACTAGCTTTCGTAGCAGCACCTGAGTGATTGCTTTGGCTACTTGCATCACAGCAGCCCCCACAGTAGATTTGCCCACTCCAAATTGATTCCCGACTGACCGGTAGCTGTCTGGCGTTGCAAGCTTCCACAGGGCTATCACCACTCGCTTCTCAACTGTGAGGGCTGCTCTCATCTTGGTATTCTGGCGCTTCAGGGCAGGGGAAAGCAAGTCACAAAGTTCCAAGAAAGTGCCCTTACGCATGCGAAAGTTTCGCAGCCACTGGGAATCGTCCCACTGCAACACTATGCGGTCCCACAAGTCTGTGCTTGTTTCCCTTGCCCAGAATCGGCGTTCCACGGCTATAACCTGCCCCATTAACAGCATGATCTCCAAAGCACCGGGTACCGCGGTTCGATAGAATTCCATGTCCATATCCTCATCACTCTCCTCGCCGCCTGGTTTTCCAGGTTCTTGTTCAGCATAAACTGCACGATAAGGTGCGAGGTATTTACAATGTTCATGACTGTTGTCTTGAGCTGAGCGGGCTCTATGCTTGCCATGGTATGGCGTCTGCACTGTTCACCCAGGAAAAAGGCGCGAAACGGTTGTTTGCCGTTGCTTCCTGGAGAGGGGGGAGGATATACCCAGAACCACCCGCGACAATGTTTTTAGCCCCATCAGGCATTGCGATCTCAACCCAGAATTCCAATGGGTGGAGGAGACTGCGGGAACTATGGGATAGCTATGGGAAAGCTACCCACAGTGCAACGCTCCGGAAATCGACACTGATACATGGACTCACACTGCCGAATTAATGTGCTTAGTGTGGTTGCATACAATCGAATTTATACAACCTGTTTTCCAAATTCGAATTATATAAATTCGGATTAATCCCGTAGTGTAGACATACCCAAAGGCTCAGCATCCAAAGTCATCCTTCAGCTGGGATTTCCCCACGGCCTTAAGCCGCCAAGTCTGTCACACAACTCCCAGAGAATTTCAGCAGCCACCTGACTCCAGCAAACTCCTTCTGAACACCCCCACCCACCCTCCTTCTTTCCCCCAATGCAGCTGCAGGGACAGAGTTACACACAACTTCTTGGAAAGCGTCCTTGAAATGTAACCCTTTCAGGGAAGGAGCAGCGGTTGGATCAGCTTTGATTAACACCAAGGACACAGAGGTAGGGTTATTGTGCCATAAGCCAGGACAAGCCATTCTAGATTCACTGATTAGGAACTTCTCTGCCTCCCTGCTTGATCTCAAAGAGGAGTTTTCTCACCTTTCTCTTCTCTGGGGGTGGGTGGGATTTTAACTCAAACTCTTTCACCCATTTCTCAATTACACACCCCTTTTTTGTACCTCAATGGCTGATTTTTCCAATCTCCTCCATGTGCCTTTATACTCCATGAGGAACAGTCACAAGGTTAAGTCTGAAAATGACCACAGGGAAGTGAGGAAGAAAAGGAAAGACCAACACATGGACTGGATGTAAATTTCCCTGCAACTTTAACAGTGCAGTGTCAGGTAGACACCCGCAGGCAGGAGTGCATCTGGGCAGTGAAGTCAGAGGCAGGAAGCTCTCAAATTTCAGACCTTTTAAAGAACACCTGAATGTACAGGACTGAGTGGAGAGGCTGCCAGACCTCTGCCAATGCCCTCTTCAAGTGAAGGGGCAACCTGATGGCATCAGAAGGAGCCTGTCAGTCTCTTTGACTGGGTCAGTCTCCCCAACTACCTCCTCTGCCTAATGGCACAAAAACTCCCTGCAATACGTAGCCCCAGAGCTAACAAGGTCTAGTTTACAATGGGTGAGCCAGGGAACACACACACAGACAACATTCCACTGCACCAGGAGAGTTGGGATTGACACCCCCCCAACAGCTGCTAAATCGTCCTGGACCCCAGGGCTTAGATACTAGTGACAGATGCTATAGGAAGACCCAAGAGAGACCATTTCCAGTCCCACAGGCATGCTTCCAACTACCCTATCGACATATTGCACATGGAACTGTATGAAGAGCAGCCCTCAAACAGCATAGACAGGGCCAGACCAGTTAATGTCCCTGGGAAACCTTCATTTCTGATTTCCTTCACTGTGGGTTCATGTTCTCAGCCTTAGTGGAGGTGTTTATATTGTATTATAAGGAGTGTTTCAGTGACACCACAGCCCAAGCCAGCCCTGCTCTGAAGATGGGATGCAGGAAGGCCAGCTCGATAATAGCACAGCGCCAAAGATGGGATGTGTTGCTTAGTAATGGCGAGATGGCAGGCACAAAATTCAGTCAATTAATGTCTATACACATGTAATGACAGCCCATGAGTTTGAGCTTTACAGAGGCAACCAGCAAGCAGTGGGGTAAGAAACATCCTTTATGAATCTGTGAGGAAGGTCAGCCTTGTGGTTAAGGTGCTGGTGTTGGACTCTGGAGATGGGGGGGGGGGGCAGTCAGTTCCCAATTCAAGTCACTTTGAAAATCCCTAAGGGGCTTAGACATCCAGGATTTTCAATAGGAGTAGGGCACCTAACTGCCCTTTGTGCCTTTAAACCCCAGCCCACCCCCTTTGATCTCTCTGGGTCTCTATTTCTCACCTGTAAAATAGAGATAATAAAAAAGGATAATTGTGGCAAATAATTGTGAATAAATCATCCCCCTGAGCGACCTAAGTTACACCAACAAAAGCACCAGTGTGCACAGCGCTATGTTGGTGGGAAAGCTTCTCCTGTTGACATAACTACCACCGCTCATGGGGGCTGGAGCAGTTAAGCCAACAGGACAACTCTCTCCTGTTGGTTTAGAGTGACTACATTAGAGAGCTTAAACTCTCTAGTGTAGCCGTAGCCTGGGTCAGGAAGGGCCACGCACTTACCTGCGATAAATGCTGCTAGAGCAACGATGATGAGGATCAAAAATGTAAGTGCGATTAACACTTTAATCACAAGTTTCCAGCGCTTGGAGTTAGGCCAATGACCTGAAAGAGAAAAGCTATGAATGCTCCTAGGACAGGGGAGCAGACTCTCTAGCAATATTAGTGGCTGAGCTGCCTTACAGCAAATAGCTATTTAGACTCCCCAGAGCGCTCCCCTCCACACCCCGGATACAACCAACCAACGCCCAATCAGAGAGCTAAACACAATAAATTCACCCAATCCAAATTAACCCCTGACTCATCCAACCAGCACATAGTTCAATGGAGCCTAGGCCTAGAGAATAACATTGTACTATTTAATTTCTCTCACTGCTCCTGTGTGCTCTCACAGCGCTGCTACCCAGACTGGCCCCCAGTTGACCGAAGGGGTTAGGGGATGAGAATGTGTCTCTCACTGACCTTTTCTCTGCCTCCTGCTGCAGAGAAAGGGATGGGATCAGACTTTTCCCCACACGCAGGCACTGAGCACGCCAATTCCTGCTGCACCCAACCCTCCTGCACTAGACCAGGCAACCTGAGGCCAGTCAGAGGTTCGAGCCAGTCAACCCTGCCCGTCCCTAAAGGGAAGCTCATGCACAATCTATCTGGTTTGAACACCAATGAAGGCATCCCCAGCACAGACTGCAGCCTCTGACTGTCTAAGAAACAAGGGGTTCAGTTTTCCTATTTGCAGCTACAATACAACCAGGTTCACAGCATTCAACAGAAAAGCCTCTGGGAAACCCCAGGGGAAACCATCCTGGGATAGACCCAGTGGGTTTTCTAAGGTTTCTTCTCTAACTCTAAGAGTAATTACAAGAGGGCAAAGTAGCAAAGGTACCAGATGTACAACAGAAAAAATCTATCAATCTCGTCCCTGCCCCCACACTCTGTGCAGAGTCTGAAGCAACCCTCAGGTCCCTCAGACTATGGACTGGCCTCCCTTGGCCCTGCATGGAGCTGCATGGCCAAAGTTACCTGCCATCCCCAGGCACCTGCTCATTTTCATGCAGTGCCAGGGCCCTGTCTCTGTGCAATGATTCTGGATATGCCTCTCACACATTTCACACACAGGAGGAAAGCAAAAGTGGAGTGGAACAAAGGGAGATGTAGGCCAGGATTTCAGATGTGTGACAATCCCCATCCACCAGATTGCCCATGCACCCGCTGCAAGACCTCTGGCTATGTCCAGGCACACAAAAAACAAGTAGCAGGGACAAGCTGGGTACCTGTTCCAAAGCCCAGTAGGGCAATCCGTTCCCTGCTGCATTCAAGGATGGCAGTTTGAACAGCTTCATCTACCATTAAAACCATGCCCTCATCTGAGCAAGTTTCAGTGTCTCTGCCCAGCCTGTTCCAATAGCCTGGCTCCCCTCTCTTCTCTACAGCTACACACCAGTTAAGAGGCTCCTTTTGCTGCAGTTCCTCATCAATGGGGGACACACCTTCTTCCATTGCTCCTCTCACACCAGGAGCCTGGGACTTGTGTTAGGCTCTGATCAGCTCCTTCTCGCAGGTTGTAATGTCTCATTCAGAGCGTAGCTATACTCCAACTTGCAGTGGTTTAGTTTAACGTGATGTTAAATCAGTGCAAGTGTGCACCTGTGGACACTTACTCTGTTCTGAACCAGGCTGATTTGATTTAGCTTAAGTCCTTTAGGAAGAGTTTGAAGCTAAACTGAAACAAGAGTGTCCACGTGCACACATGCTAAGTTAAACTGGTGCTGATGTCTGCGTAGATGAGCCCACAGCGGCTGCAGGGTGGGTTCCACACAGCGGCAGACGTCCCAGCCCCAACTCCAATCTTGCTGCTGCTTCTCTGGTTAAGCTGGACCCCAAACTGTAACAAGCCAATGTAAGAAACAGTTCCATTGGTTTGCGGTTCCTTCTTGCTGAGAGTTGTTGTGCTCTCTTTTGAAGACCCCCCAGAACTGTTAGCACATGCGATAAAAACAAAACACAGATCCCCCAGCCCTGGGCCAGTTACCTGAACACCCCCTGCCCCGCCATTAGCAATGGGTGCCTTAATAATTGAAATGCTGCTCTCCAGTCAGCCCAAAGCACTGGAGAGATGGGGCAACAGAGATTTGTTCCCCCACTGCCCACAGGAAACCACCTCTGGGTACGAGTGGGGGGAGGGAGCACCCCCACTTACTGACAGCCTGGTGCTCTCAATTGTTCTGTTCACTGTCAGAGACACAGAGCAATCAGACAATGCAGTAACTACAACACCTCTCCTCCCCCTCCACTGGCCTACCCCCCCCCCAAAGAGCTATGGAGAGCTCCACGCAGGCACTTGGTCTCCCACCCCTGATGTGAACCCCCTATGGGGGGACTGGAGGAAGGGCGAGCCCCCGCCCCTGACAGGGTGTGTGTGTGTGTGTGTGTGTGTGTGTGTGTGTGTGCGCGCGCCCCACTACTCCCACAGGCTGTACCATCCCGGCCAGTCTGCAAGCACTGGACACAGACGAGATGCAGCCCGCACTAAACACAGAACCCGCTGCCCGGGGCCCACTAAATCCTCAGCCGCCATTGCTGTCCCGCCAGCGAGAAGGGGGGGAGGGCGTGGAAGTGACGTCATGGAAGGCGGGGCTCTGCCCAGACAGTGATTGGCGGGCAGGGAGGGGGCGGGGCCCGCCTCATTCACGTCGCGCGCTCTGTCAACTCAGAGCCCGGGCGTTCGGGCTAAAAATGGCTGCGCATGCGCAGATGTTCTATATTTCTTTCCCACTGCGCAGCCCCTGACGAAGGGCGGGGCGGTTAGGAACGAGTCTTCCCCCTCCCCCGGAGCGCGAGACTCCCCCGCCCCGTGAGCAGCAGCAGCGGCAGCAGCAGGGCTTACCGGGGCGGGCCCGTCCAGGCGGAGCCTCAGGCAGCAACAACGACCCCGAAATAGCCCCGCGCTCAAGGGGATCAACAGCGCCTAATTCGGATCAAAACAGGAAAGTCGCTTAAAGCTCCGCCCCGCTGCCGAGTGAAACCAATCAGATACTTAGCTCCGCCTGGACCACGCCCCCTTGGGGCCTTCGCCTCTGTCCGGCCAGCTGCCGCACGCCTGTAAACAAACTAACCAGAGCGCGGTCTCCCTGAGCTGGGTCCCTGGACCGTGAGGGGAACTCTGTGTAGACGTGGCCTGATTTTCAGATGGGCTTAGACACCACAGCTCCTGCTGCAGTCAGTGGTTTCCAGGTTCCCGTGGAGATCAGAATCTCTGGCCTGGGCACCAGGGTTTAATTTGTGCCAAGGTTTAATCCCGCTGTCTGCAGGCTTGGCAGTTCAGAGCCCCGGCCTCTCTGGGCTTGCTGCGTCACTTATAAAAGTAAAAAAACCGCTTGAGCCTCAGCACCTCCTTCGTTCAAATTAAGCACTGTCGGGTACCCTCTCACTTCACCTTGAGATGCCCCCCTCTGTCACAACTTTCTGCCCCAAGACTAAAGGATGGGGAAAGGCAGAGGCAGCAGATCGCGACAGGGCAGCGAAAGAGAACCCAACATGCCAGTAACTGCTACCAGTAGCAAATGGTGACACCAGCAATTTGCAGTGTTAACCAGACCTGGGAACTGGTGTGTGACTCCGGTCACATCCCCACTCAGTGCCAGCAATTGTGAAAAGTAGCCAAAGTGGGTTCTATGCCTTTCCCTGCACACACCCCATAGGCTGAAAGAACTGCCACTCTCTGCTCTGCTAGTCAATCACAAGGCCGGAGTCTGAGCTCACTAGCTACAAAGTAACGAAGCAGAATAAATGAATTAATGAATGCTCTGTGCATAGGGGGCTCCACTCCCCCCGAGCCTCATCCAGCTCCCCCCGAATATCCCCCAGAACCCAGCCCCACCAGGCAGGGCCGGCTTTAGGAAGTGCGGGGCCCGATTCAAATAGTTTCGACGGGGCCCCGGCAGGGTTGACTTAAAAAAAAAAACACCATAAAAAATCACATGGGGCTTGTACTCACCGGGCCGCGCTCCTAGTCTTTGGCGGCGGGTCCTTCACTCACTCCGGGTCTTCGGTGGCACTGAAGGACCCGCCACCAAAGACACAGAGCGCCGTTGGGTGAGTAAAAATTAAAAAGGCGCCTCTAGCCAGGGAAGGGATTCTTTGCCACTTGCCCCCCACTCTGGGCAGCCCTGCCACTCGGCGCGGGGCCCGATTCGGGGGAATTGGCCTAAGGCCGGCCCTGCCTCCAAGGTGAGCAGGTGCCACTGGCCGA